AAATAATTTAACTATAAAAATGTTAAACCAGGAAGACAAAAAAGCAGTAAACTTAAGGACAGGACAACCGGACAATCAAGTGATGATCAATATTGTTATACTTGGTTGTCATGAATAGCAATTTTATAATAACATCGAACTCGTTTCATATTTACTGGTTACTCGGTTACCGGTCAAGTTCATTGCATATTGTTTTCATAAGCAGTAGGTACCTATACTTACTATAACGAGTTCCCACGTGTACGATTTTAATTTAAATATGAATGTTGTTTCACTTAGTATGTACCTATATTTTATATTTCAACGATTATAACTAACCTAACCGGGTTGTCGTTTATTTTCATTTATTATCAAACCAATATTGGTACTTAAGTGTTGCGTATAATATAAAAATGAAATAAATTAATACAATACGTCATTATGTATTTTTCAAGGTATTCACTACTCAATATAATATGGTGACTAAATTAACTGAAACAAAACTACAAAAGATAATATTAACTATAGGTTTTTATTAAATTGACTATCTGCAGATACTCTTCAAATAAATACATAGTTAATGATTGGAGTCAAACTTCCTCTATATTTATGGAAATTATAAAATATTTTTATTTTTTTTATACATATTGTACCTATATAGTCTAATTTATACGTTGTACAAATGTACAATGGACGTTTGTTATTTAAATACTGTTTAATTTGTATCGAAATGTATTTTAACGATACACTTATACCGTTAAACATATATTCCTAGAATGCCCCACTTACCATAACGCCAGATCAAGAGCAAACATAAACACCTCCTCACTCAAAGACGCACTYRGACCRGGACAAGAAAAAAACATAGTAAACTTCATCAAGATGGCCGACCTTACAACCAACATATAAGACAAGAATCAAAGACAGCACATCACAACTATCAAATCTCCATTAYATTATAAATTAAACAYGTAAACCATTGTAGGCTAATAAACATTTGTATTTGAAGCCTTTAATTAATAATAAAAAAAAAAAAATTTAATTGTTATCCAGTAGATTGTATACAATAAGTAGTATTATCATACTGTATATTAGCTATATAGTTACTCATTTATAAAGAAATTGAAAACGCAGAGATGACATATTTTCAATATTGTTTGTTGTGTGACAGTTGGTAATATTAGCTATAGTACCTATACGATTATGTACACAATTCTTGTCTTTATGGCAGTCGAGATATGCGATCTGTTGACGATATACGTTTATGAGTGCTTTGTGTTATAATATATTATTATTATTATCATTCACTGTATTAAATTTTGTTTATTAATTTAACTTAAAACTTGTCTGGATTACTTTATAAATCTATTTTTCTTAACAGTTTTAGGTATATGTAAGTGGTATTGATGATTACAAATTGAATCTTCTTCGGTCCTTGTGATTGTGGTTGAAATTTGATTTACCTAAATTTTGTAAATAGGTTGATAAGTATAAATTATCACAGGAATAATTATACATGAAATTAATATAGAGTGTATTTACTTATATAGACTACCTATATTATGTATTTCAAAAGATAGTAACCTAAAACAAATTTGAAAATATTCAAAGATTAAAAAGGCGGGTAAGTCGTGTATGTCGCTCTGCTGTACAGTAGGTTACAAGTGGGTTACTGTAATGGATGGAATTAAATTTGAATCCAATGATATTCTATCATTGTATACGAAAAACGATTCTGAGCGAAGACGGTTTATCTGTCTAGGATATATTATAGATTATTAAAAATTTTCAAATCTTAGATTTAAAAAGAAAAATTATTATGAAATTCTAGTTTAATAAATAATTTGCGAATTTTCGTGATTTTCTGGTTTTTACATATGTTGTCAAAATTCAAAGATTATAATACGCCTCCTTTGTAATACGAGGCCCGTGGATACAATTTTTTTGGAGACCTTATATCTGTAATTTAAATTTCTAAACATTGGGCTGTTTATTTGTATGCAATAAATAATATATATATATATGATATACATGATATTGATATCATATATTTATAGTAAATTAATAATTTATTGAATTATAATAATGGAAAGAGTAATAATAATATTTTATTTACAGTGAAAATGATTTTTTTCTGCCACGGTTTTGAGCAAACGTCTTCATCAATAACGATAATAATAATATGTAGTGATTCTCGATGGAGGTATAAAAATATTAAATGCGAGTCAAGGAAAACAGTCAAGCCTCCGTTAAAAATATTAATAAAATGTATAATATATTATAATAAGTGTCAACCGCGTCCACAATATAAATATATAATATAACATAACGATATGCGAACACGGTATAATAATAAGATTGTCAATACACGATATATTTAATAAAGTAATATGACAACTCACGTGATTGTACTAACTACTTTTTATAAAATTTTAAATTATAAGGTCATTTAATTTTCTTTAAAATTTAATATATTATGTAGATGAAATAATATATAAATTGGACTGTCCAAAACCATTAGTTTTAATGATTAATATTAAATTTCTAGTATTAACGTAACACCAATGACGACAATGATTATATACGAATCACAATATTTAATGTTGTCTTTCAATGCAAAATAATTGTAAAACTACTTACCTAAGTAACTTGGAAGTTGTTTCTGACACCAAACACCGTCAAAGGTCAAACACTCAATAACACCACCCTTATATTGAAATCGTTAGAATGAAATGATAAAAATAATTTCTTTCTTGGGCCGTAGACCGTAGTATATAATCTATTTCTATAATTTAGTATACCAGCTATTAAAGGCTCCACTCTGAGTTACCGTGTATCACCGGGCGTCAGTCGTTTCCGCCAAAAAACTCGATTTTCGTTTCCGCCAATCATCGTTTCCGCCAAAACGAAAAAGGTTAGATTTTCATTTCCACCAAATCTATTTTTACCTACCTATCAACCTATCTAAATTATAGTTTGAGAATCATTTAGAGTTACCCAGGGGCCACCACGAGGAGGCGGTTCTCATTGACCYCCAAAAAATTGTTTGACTTAATTTTTTGATTAAAACTAAAAAAACTGAATTTGAATTAAATTAAGTTGATCTTTATTAAATTTGTGTTACACTATATGTATATATAAATATATAGTAAATCAATTATTTTTGATAGGTCTATACTTCTATACTTCTATAATTAATTATTAATTATTATTTTGAATAATTGTTGCATACCTTTTTTTAAATATTATTTTTGAAATTGTTTTATTATTGTATTCGTCTATTGCGTTTGTTGTACTCATCAATCGTTTTTTTTTTTTATATTACATCTTCATTTTTAAAAATGTATTAATATGTGGATGTGATTTATAAAATTGTTCATTAAAATGTGCATGAAAGTACACGTAATTTCGTCCAAGTTTTTGCCACAGTACTGACAGTCGACCGATCCGATTACAGAACTATCCGATCTCTATTGATATATCCACACGTAATATAGATTAAATCGATTTATATTTATTCCTAACAATGTAGGTATTTCTACGTTTAAAATCAAATATCGATAGCACTACAGATAKWCCAGGGGTTCTCAAACTTCRGCTCAATAATATAGGTAGAAATAGATTTGGCGGAAACGAAAATCGAGTTTTTTGGCGGAAACGATGACCGCCCGTATCACCGCCGCATGCCCGCATATCACAATAAGATATGACAATATTATTATTCAAATTAATAATAGTGACTACTAAATACTATGGTGTATGAAGTATGATTAACCATATACACGTTTAGTAATCACTTATCAGTATACTGTGTATTATTTCAGTATTCAATGATTTTATTTACTTGTMCCGAAATTTTTTTTAAAAAGTACATAATTTTGCTGCGAGGCGCTGAGGCCCCTTTCACGATGAGGCCCACGGAACATCCCGCATTCAATCATATGTAGTTCCGCCACTGAAATATTATATACTATACATCAGTGGTGGACAAACTTTTTTTAACTCGGGCCATAAAAAAAAAATTTTACCGCGAGCCATAACATTTTTTTTTACTTTTAAGTCATCAGAATTTTAGGTATAGGTATATAATTTTATATTTAAYGACGTTTTTATTGTACTTAATAATTTTAATGACTTTATTTAATACTTAACTTAATAATTACTATAAATGAAAGAAAATTAAATCGGCTTACATTTCAAAAAATATTTTTAAATAAATTATATTATTAAATTAAATTATATATTATATTATTAAATTACATTGTAACAACAAAAACGCTACGATATGGCGATACGGGATTAAATATGAAGAATGTATACTGTAGATTTTTAATCTTTTTTTTACGTAAATGTAAAATATTATACTTCTTTCGCGGGCCAGATATTAAATGATGGCGGGCCGTAGTTTGGCCACCACTGCCATACATGATAAAAAAAATTTAAAAAATATATATATATATATATTATTTATAATATAATCTGTGCTTCTGCCAATAAGCTCAATCCACGCAGGTAAAGGTTACCTATTGCTTGTCATTACTGATAACTGATAAGTAATCATAATAAGCTACAATAGTTGTAGGATTGGAACTTGGAACAATAGAAATGATTGGTTTCATAGCAACCATCAATCATAAACATATTAAGCACGTTTAAAATGTGTTTGGTTTAAACAATATAATATTATAGGTATGTGGTTGATATCGACGGGGTTTTAAGAAATAAGAATTATACCTAATATTTTCCTTGGCATCCACCATGTGGTAATGAAAAAAAAAATGGTTCCAATGAGTTAGGTATTTGAACTTGGCATATTGTTTGAATAATATATTAATATCTCACAGAACTATTTAATGTCGCTGCCCGCGTTGTGATGTACTATATTTGTCGACAAAAAAGGACATACATTTGTAGGTGCTACCATGGCAACCAATAGGTATACATAGCGTCATAGCCAGAATGCCTGAAACGCATGGCTTGACACAAAATTATACATTCAGAATTCAGATTGTTACTAACTAACAATTTCGAAGCGTTGCTCTTACCTACTAAATTGTCCTCGGTGAAAAATAATGACGTCTACTTCTCAGAGGTATGTACTTACCTACACTAATACTTAATAAGTTCAATTATTGTATGTATATAATAATATTGTACGCTTATTCGTTATGTTACCACCAATGATATAATTTAGGTAATAATTAAATATGATGTAAGTGTCAAGTCAACAAAATAAGTATTTAATAAAAATATGATAGTATAATAACGTAGAGAAGAAGTAATCATCACTCGTATTAAATTAGGTCACTCTCACCTAAACACATGCTTACCTTATCAAAAAGGATCCAGCGCCTAGCGCCTATGTGTGAAACATGAAATGTAACCTTAAAAATAGAGCATAATATTGTCATCATCTGCCCCAAATTCACTGAAGCTCGTATTAAGATACTCAAAAACCCTCCTCATTCGCTCTACCAAGCTTTCAAAGACGAGAACACAGTTTCAATCTGTACATTTTTCCACAATATAAACCTAAGCTATTCACTATAAATAATATATTATTACTTGTATCAAAATTAAATGTATATAAATTTAATTTGTCTGAATGTGTAAAATTGTTTAAATTTAAGCTAAAAGTTAAAATCCTGTGTAATTTATAATATATATATAATAATAACAATAAAAAAAATATATAATATTATATTATATTATTATAAATTATAACATATATTATGTTATGTATATTACACGTGTTTATCTGGAATTATTATATTACGTCACATAGGCGTGCTAACGGAGGCCGGAGGGGGAAGAGTGAGGCCTATTTAATAATTTAATATGAATATTGAATACAAATGATTATATTACTCATATCTGTCTAACTAAGATCATCTAAGCATAATATAATAATAATATGATAATAATAATATAATATAATATAATATGATTTCACGCTCACAGTATTATTATTATCTATATAATGGCTATAAAAGGCTAGACACAATGATATAAAATATTGTTAAATAGGTACACCATTGTCCGAGTATTTTATCTAGGTATATAATATTATGTTAGGTAATACATTAATATTTTATTAGTCAACATAGCACGGGTACCTACGAAGTTTCTGCTACCGGAAATATCGTTACTTTTATTGATTAAAGACAATATGATTATAATACGTTGATTATCTTGTTTATATATTTGAGGTATATTTGAGGTATTTGATGTATAATATTATTATAATATAATATGTTTGATACATTGCGTATACGAAATCAATTAAAATTTAATTGGACACTAATAAGTAATAAAGATAATTTGAAAATAAATGACGATTTCTGTTTCAAACAAAGCTCTAAATTTTAATATATTATAATATCATGTATACTTAAATCTAAAATCTACAAAATATTATACATTATTATTATGTTTGATGAAACATAATTAAAAACCTAGTGGAAGGGGAGAATTGCCTCGTAAAGACCGCCATGTTTATTTCTAGGCATAGCCTGTGTAGGTATATTGTGTAAGTAGGTACCTATAGATTAAATAGGTAGTAAACATATCACTGTCAAAAAAGAAGATAATAATTTAGATACCTAACTAACTATTAAGAGGTACCTAACGACGAATCACTACAATTATCATAATTAATTTACCCATCTTTAAATTATATATATATATATATATAATATTAGCATTTTAATTCGTAGATGAAGTGTTTGTTTACGGTGGCAACTAATTTATTAGGGGAATTAATACACACGATTATCACTTTTTCCTACATTTATTTGTATTTTAAATGATTAAACGTTGTGTGATCACATTACCATTTACCGTACGGTTTAAATTTCAGTAGTTGGCAACGAAACATTTTAAAATAACACGTGTCAATTATGCACATTGGGCAGGTAGATACTACGCGTATAATAACCTGCAGTGAAAAAAATAGGTACATTTTGTCTAACTATATTAAATATAAAATATTATACCTAGTTATGGTATAGAATTTATACATATCTAATAATATTCATGATCCTAAAAAATAGTTATCAGTTTAATAATGGTCAATTTTTCCTTCGTTTTATGATAAGAAAAACTACTACAAAAACCTCTTTGTAACTAATGGCCTTTGTTGTCGATGTTATTTTTTGCGATCAATAAAAAAAAAAAAAACAAAACTACTACAAAGATAGAATATATGAATTTCCAGTCAAAAAAAAAAAAAAAATGTTTGAACAATATTTTAACCATTATATATTATAATATTACAATATTACATAATTATTTTTTTATTGAAATATAATATGTATTATTATTTTTTATACGATGCGTTTTAATTTTTTTAAAATTGATTTATATTTATCTATACTCTAAGATACGTGTTTAAAGAAKGTCAGTAAGTATTAATTGGTTGGATGGTCTGGACCACGATTATATGATAATTATAATTTTTGGTCTTGATACAGTAACTCATAAAGTATTATATGGATATAATCAATTGTAATCTTAAATATAAATATACAAATCGAATAAAAAAACATAAAATAAATAAGTAAATGTATTACACAATAAAATATTTTATATCATTGTTTTGAATCAATTTATTTTAAGTATCCGTTTATTGTTGTTGAGTTTTTAATTGCATTAGTGTAAGGAATTTTTTCATTAAATTTAATTGAATATTAAAATTGTAACATGAAAAAATGCTGTACAAAAAAGTACGTAAATTGGTATTATCTTCTGTAAATATAACCTAACAGTATAAAAAATTAAATTCCAAATGTATTAAAACTAATTAACTATATCGGTGGTTATTGTTTCCGCTATATATTGTTGTAAAAAATTTAACAAATAATACTTTAAAAACTGCATTTTATCTAGTTTGTACTTTAAAAGTGAGATTCTTTTTTTGTCACATAATATATGTTACATACCGTTAAAAAAATATAATATATTATCACCTATTAACATTCTAGAATGAAGGAGCACTTTTTATATCCAATTATATATTACTTACTTCTGAACATTAAAAAAAAAATCCAACTCTAAAACTGTATTATGTATTATTATTTATTGTTCATTGAAAATATATTTATATACCTAATATACAATTTATACTAATATACGTTGTAATATCATTATTAGAAATGGTCAAACCATACTCGAATTGGCTATGTCTTCAAAGAGTATTACATCCGACATGGCACCCGTAGAGAGAACTTTGTTAGTAATTGGGAGTAAAAATGCGGTAAGTCATCATGCATAATTTATACATAATACATAGGTCTAATGATGTCTACAATAAAACAATAGTATAATTATAATCAGCTAATAAAATATTCGAAACAAACAAATCTGCATAATGAAATTGAAAAAAAATCTGCATGTTGTGTGCATGGAGTTAAGACGTTAAGCATATATTAAGATTAGCAGTACATTAAGTGAATCAATGTGGAAAAATGAATGGACTATGATATTAAAGCTATATTGAAGAAAATAAAAACAATTTTACAATACACTACATTAATAATAAATTACAACATATTATATAAATTATTTTTACGGTATTTTATTTACTATTATGTAAGCTATTATTTAATTTATATTAGAAACTATAAAAATATTAAAAATGTAATTGTAAAATTGTCAAAAACTAATGGCCTATGTTGCCGAAGCTAAAATGGTCAATAAAAAAATAAAAAATATTAAAATATTAAATAGTCCTAGTTTGTGTGATTTTTTTTTTTTAATTACCGTTTATTACAGCATTATTGTAAATAATATTATTTTATGTAAACATCATAAAACGATGTACACGTAAGTATCTTATACTAAATCTTTGTTCAATCTTGATAAAGGATGTAAAATTGTAAACTCCCATTTTTTAAAGACTAAATTTTTGAGATTTATTGTACTACTTTTGTATACCATGCGGGGATATAAACTTTAATTTTTCAAATGAGATCCCTGTTTGTTATTGTAAATTATTTAGTGTATTTTTTTTTTGTTTTTTTTTTTTGAAAATGTTGATATCACTAATTTTTAAAGGATCATTTTTATGAATTAAAAATTTTGATAGGTGCTTATAAATATAAATTAAAAAAAAGCGGGAAAGTGGATATCGCTCTGCTGTACAGTAGGTTACAAGTGGGTTACTGTAATGGATGGAATTAAATTTGAATCAAATGATATTATATCATTGTTTACGAAAAATGACTCTAAGCGGAAACGGTTTATCTGTCTAAGATATATTATAGATCATTGAAAATTTTCAAATCTTAGATTTAAAAAGACAATTTTTTATGAATTTCTGGCTTAAAATAATTTGCGAATTTTCGTGATTTTTACGTAAGTTATCAAAATTAAAATTTGAATGCTTGTAAAAAAAATCGTGCCTATATATTTTTAATATTTTTTAACTGCTATTGTTACAATGTGTTAGAAGCCTTGTATGAAAATTTCAAGCTATTCTACTCAACAAATAAATTTTTATCGATATTTATAGAAAAAAAACTAAAAAAGTTTAAAAATTAAAATGTCAGTAAACAGCTCAAAACAAATCTAAATATTTTGAAAATCGTATCAAATATAGAAAATGTCTATATAAACATTCGGTGATAATTTCATGTATCTATGTTCATTTGTTTTAAAGTTACATCAAAAACCAAAATCGATTTTGTCGAAAACTGATTGTGCGTAAAATTTCCCTTAATTTTTAGTTTGTTTTTCTCGATTATTTAGAAAAGTATTAATAATTTTTTACTTTTGACCCCCCAAAGTACCAACTAGATTCTCTTTCTGATCGAACCAGGTACTAAAGTAAAAAAATCGAAGCACTTTTACTGCCCCAAAACGTGATGATAGACACAAAAAAAAAAAAATAAAAATAAAAACACTCATCATGGTAAAATCAATAAATTCATCGCTCCGCTCAGAATCTAAAAGTTTAAATTACCTTACCCTTATATATTCCGTATATATTATCATGAACCGAGTATTCTAAAAAATTAATCGTTTTAATTTTGATTTTAATATGTCAAAATTGTCCACTTGCAGATAATTTGCATAATAAAATAAGAGTTATCTATTAATAAACATAATATGCTACTTCCACGGCTACACAAGTTGTTATTACACTTTTTAAGAAGCTCGAAAAGTCTAAAAAATTGAAAAAAATTGTTATTAATTATATTTGAAAATTCCAAAAATCAGACTTTGAAATTTGAATAATAGAATTATTTAATCATCCTGTATAATTAATAATATTATTTTATCCTTGTTTATACCGATTGGTAAAATAATGGATCATAGATTTTGGTAATATTTTAGTTTGAAACATATGACTTATACAATGTTACACTATAGTTTCATAATAATAAGGATGAAACATGAAACAATATATTATTATATACCTAGGTTTTTAAACACATTTGGTTCATATTTCTGCATAACTTAAACACTGATAAACAAACTTTTATATTTTGTTCTACTTAATATTATAAAAAGTGTAATAATAGATTTTATAAATTTAAGTTGGGCACTTTTTTATATATTTATTAATATTGTACTATTATTATACATTCCGAAATAGTAATACAGCGTTAAGCTAATATTGTAATATAATATTATAATAAAATGTTGTCGTAATTTAAAATCATTTAATTTATGCAAATTTTTTGATAAGATGAACATATTTATTAGTGTACCTATTTAATTATTATTCTTGATTCTTAAACAATACATAAAGTAAATTTTGTTGTTTTAAGAAATTTAATACAGACCTGTATTTTAAGGAGTATAATATAGGCAATTTCTTAATGTAGTACCTAAGTGATTATTTATGATGTGTCAATAAATTTAGGTAATAAGTAGCAATTAAGCAATGTATGTAAGCAATTAATGTAAATTTAAAAAAATGTAACGCCGACTAATAACCTCGCTGTTGATGCCGTATACAATTAATCATAAAAAAAATTAATAAAATGATGCACCACTTTAATAATGTAAAAGAAATAGCGGAAAACTCTCGTACATTCTGCTAGCTTGATACTGGTCAAAAATGCACCACAAAAATATTAATTATTTTGTTAGTTTTTTTTTGTCTAGAAGTATCATTGTTTGTCTGTCTAATTAATTTATATATTCATTCGATACGATTTCAGAAAACTTATATTTCATCATTAAGATTCATCATAAGATTTAATAATAGAAAACGACCTTCTTACATTTTCAAATATTTTTTTTAGTTCAATATTTAGCAGTTTAAAAATGTCGTTTGTGAAATGAAGTACTATGTTTCAGATAATTTATCCGAATACTAAAATTGTTTGTACGATATCGAATCCATTTTATTTAATTTTGATCAAATTATTATTATTTTTTTTATATTTGTAAAAACAATAATAATATGAGTACACAACGTAAAACATTTTATAAATGTAATTTTATTTTAATAAATGATTCTATTTTTTCAGAATTCAGGAATCCTTAAATTTTATATTAAAAATAATAATAATAATATATATGACTTTATTTGGAAAATGTTATGATATGGTAGAAATCTCATATTAGAGATACCTAGTGATCTTAAATTTACAATTTATAAGTCACAGTACTAGTTCCACTTGAGTCATCTGGTTGGATTCCCGGTTAGTTCTGGTATGGCAAGGTCCCTGATGAGCTGGTTGGGGTTGGATTGTAGTTTTGCTTGTAAGCGTTTGTCGTATAGTTTAACAGTTTTGTTGACGGAGCAGATTTTTAGATCAGATTTTATTGTATTGTTGGAGATATACCAAGGTGCTCCACTGCTCCAGTGATTATACGACAGCAGATATTCTGGAAAGCTTCGATAGTTTATCTTATTTGACGTTTTAGCAGAACCCTATACACTATACTACTACTCCGTACACCCTGGTCTTAGAGTGGTGGTTATGGAGAGTTTTATATTGTTTAAGTAAATTTTATATTTTTTTAAATAATAATTCATTGAAGAAATTGCATTGTTTTTGCAGGGTAAAACTTCATTAATATATTCATTTTTTGACAAAAAYGAAAAACCAAAACCCACACTGGCCCTGGAATATTCATTCGCAAGAAGATCTGGAAAAAGCTTAGTAAGTATTGTTTGTTATTATTATCGTTATTCGTTTCTAAAGTCTAATAAAATACCTATATTGGGTATTTAGCTTTAACACAAGTAAATAATGTCAGACAGATACGGATTAAGTATTTTTTTTTTTTTATTATTAATAAAAGCCTCGGCATCTAGAGATTTATGGAGTTACATTGGAATGAAGTTGCCTAATATTAATGGATTAAGTATTGTTTAAAAGTCTATTATAGAAACCTATTCAGAATATATCGCTCCTAATCTCTCCGCTGTTTCCACGCTGTTAATAATTTTTTTTAAATAAGCTATTTAATTTTTTTAATTTTCTTTGATATTATATAGGTTTTATTTTTATATATGTAATACAATTACATAATCTAATTTAATAGTACTCGTGTTAATATTAATATTATATATTTTATTTTCTGCGAGCATTGAAGTAACTAACTTACTAAACATAACCGTACATAAGTGTACCTATAGAAAGTAGAAATGATTTATCATGTGATGTCTAAAGGTACGTGAAGTCGAATACACGTAAAACCAATGTTTGATGTAGTTAAAATCAATTAAAATTGTACCTTAGTAAACTGATTAGGTTTCTGCCGCTTCGGCAATCGGCTTTATATAGTAATTCATATTTTAACTGTTAATCAGCATTTTATTCAAAAGGATGCAATAATATAATTAGTTGTATAAAGTATAAGAGGTATATTTAGTATTAAATATAATACTGACTAAGAACTCATACTATTGTGAGTATTGGAAGCACTGAAACGGATTTTACTGATACATTCTCTAAGTAGATATTCAAAAAA